ACTGGTGAACACCTAATGCTCCACTCCTTACTATATAACAGGTGTGACAAGACAAAAAAAAGGTCCAAATGAAAGAACAGATCAAAGCTCCAGAAAAAATACAACTAAGTGACGAAGAGATAGCCAACCTATCAGATGCAGAGTTCAAAACATTGGTAATCAGGATGTTCACAGAATTGGTTGAATACGGTCACAAATTAGATAAAAAAAAAGAATGAAGGCTATGAAAAGTGAAATAAAGGAAGATGTACAGGGAACCAACAGTGATGGGAAGGAAACTAGGACTCAAGTCAACGGTGTGGACCAGAAGGAAGAAGGAAACATTCAACCACAACAGAATGAAGAAACAAGAACTCAAAAAAATGAGGAGAGGCTTAGGAACCTCCAGGACATCTTTAAACATTCCAACATCTGAATTATAGGGGTACCAGAAGGAGAGGAGGAAGAGCAAAAAATTGAAAACTTATTTGAACAAATAATAAAGGAGAACTTCCCCATTCTGGCAAAGGAAATAGACTTCCAGGAAGTCTAGGAAACTCAGAATCCCAAAGAAGTTGGACCCAAGGAGGAACACACCAAGGCACATCATAATTACATTACCCAAGATGAAAGATAAGGAGAGAATCTTAAAAGCAGCAAGAGAAAAAGAGACAGTTACCTACAAAGCAGTGCCCATAAGACTGTCAGCTGATTTCTCAAAAGAAACCTGGCAGGCAAGAAGGGGCTGGAAAGAAGTTTTCCAAGTCATGAAAGGCAAGGACCTACATCCAAGATTACTCTATCCAGCAAAGCTTTCATTTAGAATGAAAGGGCAGATAAAGTGCTTCCCAAATAAGGTCAAGTTAAAGGAGTTCATCATCACCAAGACCTTATTATATGAAATGTTAAAGGGATTTATCTAAGAAAAAGATGATAAAACCATGTACAGTAAAATGGCAGCAAACTCACAATTATTAACTACCACACCTAAAACAAGAACAAAAAGAAACTAAGCAAACAACTAGAATAGGAACAGAATCACAGAAATGGAGATCACATGGAGGGTTATCAATAGGGGAGTGGGAAGGGGAGAGGGGGGAAAAGGTACAGAGAATAAGTAGCATAAATGGTAGGTAGAAAATAGACAGGGGGAGGTTAAGAATAGTATGGGAAATGTAGAAGCTAAAGAACTTATATGTATGACCCATGGACATGAACTAAAGGGAGGAAATGTGGGTGGGAAGGAGTGTGCAGGGTGGAGGGGAATAAAGGGGGAAAAATGGGACAACTGTAATAGCATAATCAATAAAATATATTTAAAAAAGAAATTCGGCTCTTAATCTCAGGGAATATGTATGTCAAACATGCAAAAGAGATTTTCAAGTACTAGAGGCAGTGAAACTACCAAACCAGATTGCCAAAATGCACTGCCCAAGACATCAAAAGAATGGTTACTAAACAAGTGAGGAAACCAAACTGCCAATAAAGCAGCAAGCAAGATAAGCTGCCCAAGGGCCACAATTTCTTGGGGCTTTAATTCTCTACCTGGACTTGTCAGAATTTAAACCACATCACATGGAACAAGATGAGGAATGGGCCCATGAATGCGGATTTTCTAACACTGACCCTAATTCTATATGGAAGATCAACCTCATGAATCTTACTCCCTGAGGTTCTAGTATATCTCATCCTCAAACATGTATATGAATGGACTCATTATGGAAGGAATGCTTTAATGGACCTCATTAGGCCACATCTGAAGGGCCCTTATTTACAAAGGATCATTCAGGAGATTGTCCAAGCCTATCAGATATGTCCAAGCCTACAACAGTATGTGCCCCAACAGTAAAGGGTACAATATAAAGGGAAATGTTGATTTAAGGACTGGCAAGTTGGCTTTACACAGATGCCTAAAACTATGAGAAACTTTAAATCTTTATAGCTATTGTAGGCACTTTTTCTGGATGAATCGAAGTATCCTCCACTAGAACTGAGAAGACAACTGAGATTGCAAAACTTCTAATCAAAGAAATAATCCCTAGGTTTGGACTTCCTCACAGCATTGAAAATAACGATGGATCAGCATGCACTTCAGAAACCTTCCAGAAGATAGGACAGGCACTATAGATTCAATGGAAACGACATGCATTTTGGAGACTCCAATCTATGGGGAAATGGAGAAAATGAACTACACAATAAAGAAGACCTTGGCAAACATTTGAAATGGGAATAGGTACTACCTATTGTCTCACTCAGGATTAAAGTAGCATCCCAAAGTGGGCTTAAATTAAGCCCTCTGAAAGTTTATGGGAGATCCCCCCAAGTTTCTGTTTTAGGAATACCCCCTTTGGATTTAGAACATGAATCAAAAAGCAAACAATATGTACAACATCTAGAGCAAAAACTACCAATTTTGCACAAGTTTGCTCATTGGATGTCCATCTACCCATTTGATGAACCCTTACACCTGTTCCAACTGAGACACAGTCTTACTCATGACCTGGATGACTCAAGGCCCTAAATAGCAGTTAACTGAGCAATGGGCCAGTCCCCATGATGTCCTGCTGACAATACACTCTTCCTGAAGCTCATGGGAATCAAGCCTTAGATCCCTCACACAAGGATAAAGTGGGTGCTGCATGAGGAGAACTTGAATCTAGCTGCTGCTGTTGATACCAAAACGGAAAGCCGCACCTGCACAGCTGAGGGAGATTTAAAATTCTTCTTTCAAAGAGGAACAGCACCTCCCAAAGCTAAGTGACAATGTTGCTCTTTATTTTATTCTCCATTTTCCAGAGTGTGGCTTCCTCAGCAAATTCTGCTTTTGGGTGTGCCACCCAATAGATCACAGGGATCCTTTCGTCTCTCCAGTTCTCCCTGAACTACCAGACATACTCCTCATTAAACACTTGAGTGACTGCACATTAGGTCTTACTTTGGAAGCCCAACTCCATCTCTTGAAATACGAAGCAGCCTACCAGCTTTACTTGTTCAGCAGTGCCAAAGTGTAGACACTGTGTATGCTGCCCTCTAAAGACAGCAATCCTTCTCCCTCACATAAAGGCTTTCCTCCATTCCTGATCCCAACCCCCACCTTCCTTTAGCAGATAGTAAGAATGAACCCAGGGATAGGTAAGACTACGTCCTTTGACAGCAGGAAGTAATTACAGAAGATACCTTCATCCATTTGCCCAGAGTTTTACAAAGGTCCAGAGTTTTGAGGGGGGGGGGGGTTGTTACCATAGACAGTCAGAGTGCCGGGAAGTCTCCCCCATTAGCCAAGATGGCAGCAGGGGGAGGTTCTTACACTGAGTGTGCCAAAAGCTGGAAAAATGAATGGATACAGCCCAAGTGCACCAATAGCTAGAGAGATGGATAGGGCCCCAGGCATGCCAATAGCTAGAAAGATAATTGGATAGGAAAAAGCCCTCCCTTTCCTATCCCTATAAGAACCTCAGGCTTGAGCAAGAAGACTGAGATGGTCTTTGAGATGGGAGTCCACCATTCTCTCAGGTCTCACAACACCTGAATAAAACCTCTTTCCTTTTATACCAGCACCTGCCTCTAGTTTTTGTTATGGTATACAGTCAAACCTCCATTTTGTTCAGTTACATTCCTCCTAACAAGAACCTAACAAGGTTCTCTACTTCCTATTAATTAATACTATTTTGCCTTTCTTCCTATATTATCATCACTTTTCTGTTTCATGCCTTATCTCAGCTATCTAAAGCCATTCATGGTAATAATGGCCACAGGACAGAGAAAGCTCTATTCTGAATATACCTGATATTAGAGAGCCAGAAATCAGGCTGGTTCTCAATCCCATCCCTGTCTTCACAAATAAAATGCCCTTGTCCCTGGGTCAAGTGGAACATCACCTTCAACAAGGGCAGTGTGCCGTCCCTCCAGCCTGTGGAGGCAGGGCTGAGTCTGAGTGGTTGGGCTTTCAATAGGCTGAGAGGTTGACCTGAACTATGGATGCAGGTAGTTGGTCCCTGATCCTCAGCAGGAGCCCAAAGCCACTCATAAAGTGTGGGTCTCCTCACATGGAGCAGGGTGCTGCCTGAACAAATGCTCCCCTCAATGTTGGGAGAATGACTGAGAAAGGTAACATAGCTTCACAAAGAAACAAGAAAGGGAAATCCAGCCAAAGAGATAGGACCCTGTGTACCCAGCATAGGTCCAAACATTTCAAAACCCCTAAGGTACCTCACCAAGGCAAATGTAATTCATTTTCCAAATCAACTAGTCAAAGACTTAAAAGAAAACATAAGACTATTCTATCAAATGAATGATGAACATATGAACATGAAATATGAACCAACTGGCCCAATTTCTATAGTAATATGGACTAAAAAGATAACAGGGAATTAATGTTCTTTAGTATATATTCCATTAAAATAATTGGGATAGGTGTTAGGGAAGACAGGACACTGGGAGGCTGGGGGGTGGTGAATACCATTGCTCCTTGAAAACATCCTACCATTATTGACTCAATAAACACATAGAAATGAATAAAGCTATGCTGCTAAAATACCAGGTGAGATATGCAACAGAACAGGCTAACAGAACACAGACATTTAAGAAAGATTTGCTGTCTCCTGACTCAAGCTCACTCACAGACTTGCTCTAGTCAAGAATGTTGTTTGGAAATGTGCCCTTTTATAGCTCTATCATCCATGAGAATGGTTTTTGCCCTGAGAGTCACTGAAGTCCCAGGCTGAGCCCCAGAATGAACATGTGAAGAGACCTATGCTCAACCTGCAGCAAGGAGCCAAACCCAGTTGTACTGCAGTGTAAACAGAACCACTCAGCTAAGACAACACCCATCAGTCAACCTTTAATCAATTCAACAGAAGCATGAGCAAGAATAAATGCTGGTGTAAGTCACTGAAATCTGAAATGTTTTGTCATGTAGCCTTGTGGCAATAACTGACACAGATGACTTCCCCAAATGGAATTCATAAACCACTTAAAGATTGCCTTTCTCTGCAAGGTCATAAAGAAATAAAGCTACTTACCAGGTTCACCTTTCTTCTTTGAACCAGACTTCTTCTTTGCTGGAACTTCTTGCTTTGGTGCCTCCTGGCTCTGAACCATATCTGCATTTTTGCTCTGGCTAGGAGTTGACTCTGACTTTTTACTCTGATTGGCAGATGCATCCACCTTTTTGCCCTGGTTGGGGGACCCTTCTGACTTTTTGCCCTGATTTGGAGTTCCCTCTGCCTTCTTGCCTTGATTAGGGGCTCTCTCTGCTTTTTTCCCCTGGTTTGCAATACTTTCTGCCTTTGTGCCCTGATTAGCAACTAAATCTGCCTTTTTGCCCTGATTCTGAGCCCCCTCAACTTTTTTGCCCTGATTCTGGGCCCCGTCTGCCTTTTTGCCCTGATTCTGGGCCTCATCCACCTTTTTGCCCTGGTTGAGAGCCCCCTCAGGCTTTTTGCCTTGGTTCTGGGTCCCCTCCATCTTTTTGCCCTGGTTCTGAGCCCCCTCCACCTTCTTGCCCTGGTTCTGAGCCCCCTCTGCCTTTTTGCCCTGATTCTGAGCCCCCTCCACCTTTTTGCCCTGGTTCTGAGCCCCCTCCGCCTTTTTGCCCTGGTTCTGAGCCCCCTCTGCCTTTTTGCCCTGGTTGGGAGTGCCCTCTGCCTTTTTGCCTTGGTTCTGAGCCCCCTCTGCCTTTTTGCCCTGGTTGGGAGGCCCCTCTGCCTTTTTGCCCTGATTCTGAGCCCCCTCTGCCTTTTTGCCCTGGTTGGGGGTCCCTTCTGCCTTTTTGCCCTGGTTCTGGGCCCCCTCTGCCTTTTTGCCCTGATTCTGAGCCCCCTCTGCCTTTTTGCCCTGGTTGGGGGCCCCCTCTGCTTTTTTACCCTGGTTGGAGGTGCCCTCCGCCTTTTTGCCCTGGTTGGGGGCCCCTTCTGCCTTTTTGCCCTGGTTCTGGGCCCCCTCTGCCTTTTTGCCCTGGTTCTGAGCCCCCTCTGACTTTCTACCCTGGTTGGGGGTTCCCTCCACCTTTTTGTTCTGATTTTGAACAATTTCTACCTTTTTGCCCTGATTGGGGCTCCCCTCTGCCTTTTTGCCCTGGTTTGGGGTCCCCTCCTCTTTTTTGCCCTGGCTGGGGGCCCCTTCTGCTTTTCTACCTTGATTCTGGATCCCCTCCACTTTTTTGCCCTGGTTGGGGGTCCCTTCTGCCTTTTTGCCCTGGTTCTGGCCCGCCTCTGACTTTTTGCTCTGGTTCTGGGTCCCCTCTGCCTTTTTGCCCTGGTTCTGGGTCCCCTCTGCCTTTTTGCCCTGGTTTGACACCCCTTCTACCTTTTTGCCCTGATTTTGGGCCCCTTCTGCCTTTTTGCCCTGGTTGGGAGTTCCCTCTGCCTTTCTGCCCTGGCTGGAAGTTCCCTCTACCCTTTTGCTCTGGTTCAGGGTCCCTTCTGCCTTTTTTCCCTGGTTCTGGGACCCCTCTGCCTTTTTGTTCTGCACAGTACTTGTGGCTGAGGTACTGGACTTGGCTCCCACTGGGGGCACAACCACCATAGGCACCTCCTTAGGAGCAGTTTCCAAGATGGCAGCCTTTGAGGCAAGAACCTGGATAGAATTCACTACAGAACTGACTGCTGGTTCCACCTTTGCTACTTTTTTCTCCTTCTTCTTTTTGTCCTTAGGGAAGGAGGCCAGCTTCTCTTGGGGCATGGCTGGCACTGTGGCTATAGGGGTTATGACCACAGAGGGATGGACTGGGGTTGGAGCCACAGCCATTGCAGGTGCCCTCACTGGGTCTTTGAGGATGGTCATGTTGGGGGCTGGCTCATGGTCAGGTATCTTCCCATTGGGTTTCTCTTCCTTTTTCTTGGTCTTTCCTTTTTTCTCTACTGTTTTCTCCTTCTTTTTCTTCTCCACTTTCTGGTGATGAGTTTTTGCCATTTCTTTGCGCTGATTGGCCAGAGCTTCTTCATATGATGTCTCCTTCATGGAGAAGGTTGACACCAGGAAGATGCCAATGGCGGAAACAACCATGAATCCACCAAAGACTACAACCCCCAAGGTTTGAGTGTCGTAAATGTCCATTCTGGCTTGCTTTCTGTTACCTGCCAAACACATACACATAGATTACCTTTTGCAGAAACAAAGACATTTAGTTCCCAGCCCCACCCCCACCATCAAACTTAAGGTTTCACTGATTCTTAAAACTGATAGTCAAAGAAGAAACAAATGCAGGCAATCTCTGATGTCATACATTCTTAGCTGCTCCTACTCAGAACTGAACAATTTTTAAGCAAGATATGAGCAGTCTTTTTCAGTGCCAGCAGATACAAAACACTGGAAAGATGTCAGAGTGCAGGTCTGTACTTATGGAATATGATGCCCTGGAAACTGAGAAACTTTGATCACAATTCAAATATTCCCAACAGCAGGAGTTAAACATGTACATGTGCACAAGTACAGGCCAGGTGCAAAAAATAGGGAGTGATGAGGACTGTGGCAAAAATGTTCCACAAAATTAGGGAGCTAGTGTCAACTAGCCATACCTGACTGGCCATAAACCTTTTTTACTCAATGTAAAATTGACAAAGTTTTGGTTTTTTTTAAGAATTTATTTATTTATTTTTAGAGAGGGGAGGAAGGGAGAGAGAGAGAGAGAGAGAGAGAAACATCAATGTGTGGTTGCTGGGGGCTGTGGCCTGCAACCCAGGCATGTGCCCTGACTGGGAATCGAACCTGCGATGCTTTGGTTCGCAGCCCGTGCTCAGTCCACTGAGCTATGCCAGCCAGGGCAAAATTAACAAAGTTTAAAAAATACCATGTAAGTCTGATATAGTAGGCAGATAAACATGAGCAAAGTAGGAACAATAAACCAGATATGAAAGGTCACCAGAGCAGAAAGCCCTAGGTGCCTAGTACCAGACTATTTTAAGGTAGAACCTTGCCCCCAGGGTGACCCGTTTCATATAGCTGGTCATGTGGTTCAGACCCTCCCCTGACCTTTCCTCACCTGGCACGTCCCTACTCAAGCAGTAGACTCCCTTCAGAGGAGGAACAAGGGGACCAGAGAAAAGCCTCATACAACTCCCATACAAGCCCTTGCATGACCACTCCCTTAAGCATTAAGCCCCCAAGACAATGAGGTTCTGACCTACATCAAATAATCTTAGCCTAGGGTCTGTTGATCACAGAGACAGAGTTTGGGTCAAACTAGAGATAAACATCTAGGCCTCAGTCCTGTTTCAGCTCCAAGCCCAGAAAAACAGCAAGGCCAGGTAGGGTGATGCCATGGCTGACATCAGGACCAGATGCCATGACTAGCATTCCCCACCCAGGGGCCAACCAATCAGTACAGACCACGATCCTGAAAAGACACACCTGGAAAACTGATAAATATTCTACTGAGATCCTCCAGAGACCTTCCATAAAAGTCCTTAAAACTCAGCTTGTGTGCTCTCTCTCTTTTCCCCACCCTCTTCTTTCCTCAGGCACACTCCTGGCCAGGCCTTTTCTTCCCCCTTTCTTCCCTGAAGGCATGTACCCTTGCTTTCTTTCTTCTAAGTTCCAAGGGCCTCTCTTTTGCTCTGGAATTTGTTTCCTGAGTCCACACAACCTAGCTGGCTCACTTCTTTCACAGCTCACTTCCTCTACCTCTATGACTTTCTAAATAAACTTTGGCTTGTATTTGAGTCTTGGTTCTGAATTTTTACTAGCCAAACTCATGCACAGAGGTTTAACATCTGGTGCCGTTTGCCATTAACAAGCCAAACCAAACACTTCTGCAGGCTTTCAGCAGCATGCATTCTAGCCAGAAGGGTCCTGATGTGCTATCTCGACTCTGTCACCTCCCTATTTCCCCATGCTGGTAAATACAACTGCCCAAGGTCAGGAAGGAAAACTTTTCATTACTAGTCTAAAAATTTGGTGAGGAAAAAAATGGTCTTTGCCAGTGATAGCTGCTTAACAGTTATGGAAACCCAAATTCACACATTATAAAGCAGGAGGTAAGCAGGAGTCTTGGGAGGCCCACAAAAGACCCCAGGTTTAGAATGTCACATCTGGGTGCTACAAAGAGGGAGTGAGGACAGTGTCATTAGGCCCAATTTTCACCCCAGAGAGAGGGCCCTTTGCCTGGTAACACATTCCAAACCAAGAGGAAAAAACATCCCTTCTCGTTGCCCATGCACCAAAGTCCAAAGGGTCAGAGGCAGGCTGGTCCACACTTACCTGGCTGACAGGCCAGGCTAGGTTTGACTTCACTGAGGAACTCCAAGGTTTATTTATTTGGATATAATCAACTTATATCAACTAATTTTGATATTATTATAACATTCCCAGCCCTGTGAACTACAATGAGAAATAGAGCCTAGCCCCCTACAGAGAGGATCAGTGGTGTAATTAGTGAACAGAATGTGAATGTATTAGGTGGGTAATGTATCAGGTGGGTAAGGGAAAGCGGAAAGGGGTAGAAGAGGAGCAGGGGAGGTGTATACCCTTCCCTAGCATAATGCCCCAAAATCTCTAGACACAGCATCCAGGTCAGGTCCAGGATTGTCAGTGGCTTAGAAGTTGAGATTTCTCTTCCAGAGGGAGTGGGAGAGGGAAACAAGAGTAGGAATTTCTAAACAATCTTGAAATCTGAATTTCGACCTTAGGCATTTTAAAGAAGGAACATAGAACAGAGATTGTTTTAAATGGCTCAGCATTATGTTCTAAGAGAAATCACTGTCCTCTCAGAACAAGCACTTTCTTTCTTATGTGAGAGCGAAGCATTAACTGGCTGCCTCCCATATGCACCTGGACCTGGGATCGTATATGCCTAGACCAGGTATCAAACTCACAACTTAGGTACCTGCCCCAAACAGGAACTGAACCCACAAACCTTCAACTACAGGACTACACTCCAACCAACAGAGCTACATCAGAGGCACAAGCACACTATTTCGTAGTGCTTTTCTAATAAAACCCTTTCAGGAAGATGGTTTAATGTGCTCCTGACAAAAACTTCACACATGTGCTCTTTGTGATGGTAACTCCATCAGCTACAGCTGTGATGCTGCTCCTAGCCTATCACCCTGGGTCTGCCAAACTAAGTCAAACTCTTCATTCCAGTCGGAATCTCTGAGATGGGCTCATGGAACCTTCAACCTGGGCAAGTGGACCATGACCTCTGGTAGGTTCCAACATCATAATCCACAGCTAGGGTGCCCTCATTTATGAGGGTCGACAGAGTATGTCCCAAATTAGTCCTTTCAGGAACACACTTGCAAGCTAAGTGTCGAAAAGGAACCTGTGCCTTGCTAAGCCTTGGAGGGCTCCATGGGGTGGGAAGGCAGGGACAAGAAGCCTTGAAATGGGCTATGGTCAACCTCCATTTCTTGGTGGGCATCCACCAATTTAAACTCCAGTCCTCACAAGGACCTCTCAGAATTTCACCAATGGACACATTCAGGTACAAAAACTTATTATAATCACTACATTCAGTCTATTCAGATGACAAAATTCCTCTGAAACACCCCTTCTCCAGAAGCAGCAAAATACCAGGGGCCTGAGTCACCCTGAACAAGTCTCCATTAAGTTCCAAGTGGCTTCCCAACAACTCTGCACTTGAGGGGTGTTCTCTCGTGGAGCTGCAGGTCACCAGGCTGCTACAAAGTAGGATCTGTCCCTGTCAACCACTGTGGGGCCTATGCAGCCTCGTGGGTTAGGCAAAAAAAAAAACAAAGTTGAAAAATTAGCCTTGAATCTTTCTGAAGTTAGGCAAACATGGAATACAAAAATATACTCTCTGTTGGAAGCACAGAATCGAGAAAGGCTAGCTTGGGAGAATACTTTCCTCAGCAGCACACCCAAGTGTATGTTTGACAGCAGTGCAAATGTATCTTCCCAACTTATACAGAATGGATTGCTCTAAAAAGAAATTATATCCCCGCCACTAATTCCTAGGTCAGCATTTTTTTTAAAGAAAATTTTCACAGGAAAATAAAAAGCCCTAACCTTAAGGAGTAATACACTGAAACACGTAGTCTAAGGCCCTATCACCACAAACAGCAAAGAAATGTAAGTGAAAGCCAGCCTTCCTGCTGTCCTGCAGGGTGAGCTTGGGTAGGAACACCATGGGAGATGCCTGTTTCACGGGAATGTAAAGCACAAAGTGCTTGCATGATCAGCATTCAGGGTGCTTTGTTTCTGAATTCCCCACTGGGCTTCCCATAGGCCATGCCCAGGTTGGCAAACAAGGTATATGCTGGCCCATATTCTATATGTGGGCTGACCATAAAGCACCTACATTCTGTCAATTTTGGACACTTCTGTGAAAATTTACTTTTACTTACTATTGCTAGTACTCTTAAAGTGTAAGTAGAAAGGCAAAGGTCTGTAAAGGAAGGAACCAAGAGGCCACCCAGAGGCTCAGGGACCACTCACTCCCAGGCTCAGCTGGCTCAAACTCACTGGCCCACCTTGAAAGTCCTGAGAGAATGGCTTTTCTTCTGTTCCTAGAGGGTAAAGATTCAAGGAAGAAAAGTAAGTGGAGGTCCTGGCCAGTGTAACTCAGTTGGAGCATTGTCCCATAACCAAAGGGTTGCAAGTTCAACTCCCAGTCAGGGCACATAACTAGGTTGCGGTTTGATCCCCAGTCCGGGCACAAATAGGATACAACCAATCAAGGTGCCGCTCTCACAACAACGTTTCTCTCTTCCTTCTTCTCTCTCTAAAAAGCAATAAAGAAAATGTCCTTGGGTGAGGATTAAAAAAAAAAGTAGAAACCCCAAATTCTTCAGACATGGGGTACATCTGCTAACTTATATGGCCAGACCAATCTAGTCCAGTTTGGCCAGTTCAGTGCAATCTGGCAATTGGGATGACGTAGATTTTGCAAAAGAACCCTCAACAGTACCCTCAGGGCTGGGCGCTATCACTAAGCAGCTCTCCTGCTGTGGGCCATGTGTGGGCTCTTGGAGAAAGCATGGGGCAGGAGTGTGCCGAAGGATGAGGTGTCATAGAGAACAAGTCCCCAGATATATTTCCTGGGCACAAGATGACCTATCAGTAAGGTGCAAAACTAAAACAGAATGACAATGAAACAGAGGTCCTAACAAATATG